AAATGTCGTGAGTTTCTATGGATGTGCCTCTGCTGGAGAGTTGATCTCTGAATACCTTGGGCCTTACAGACACTGTTGGCTCCAGAATTTCTTCATTGGAAGGGCTAGGAGGCAGCCTGGTGGAAAGGGAAGCTGGAATTCTTGCTTTGCATGGCAAAGACATTGATTTCACTCACGTCATATGCTGATTAGGAATGGCTTAGGAAAGGGGATAAGAGGTTGGAGTAGAGTACCATGGATGTTTTCTAATCTGTGAGTGAGTGAATGGAGTCCTTAAGCCCGGCCAATGACTAAACCAGCTCTAACTGGTGTTAAGATGTGTTTGGAAGTAAGAATGTAAAAACAAGCAAGCAAGCAAACAAACAAAAACACAAGGAAGTCATATGGAGTCTGTCAGGGAAGCAAGCCAGAGTGTTGCAGTGTGTTGTCTCATAGCCACCTCCAGGTCCCTTTGTGAAAGGCCTGCTGGAGAGGTGGGATCTTTGCCTGTGTTGGGTGGGCTGGGCTGGCTAGTGTGGGTGAGAACTTGAGCTTCTAGTCAAAAGGCAGAGAAGTGAGGCCTAGGCAGGAAAGGACCTCATTTCTCCAGGGACCTCTCAGGACTGATGGGAGCTTGTTCTAGAGCTGTCTGCCAGAAACCATGGTTAGGTGGTCAGGTTAGGTAGACGTATACTCATCTCTAGGAAGTGTGTTGAGCACTGTCCCCAGGGATCCCAGGGGTATGGCCATGCTTTGGAGCATGAAATTGGGTGGGTGTGTGACTTGGTGTCTAGGCATCCTCTCCCTGGATCAAAGGGCTGAGTGCAGTGTAAAGGGAAGGCCAGGGAATGACCTGGCTCTAACACAGAGGACTCAAGAGACACTTGCCCTTTGGGTGCTATGAGAGCAGCAAAGGATGAGCTGAGCCCAGGGGTGATGGAGTAACTGGCAGAGAGTCTTTTGGAACACAGCTCTGGAAAAGACTAACTTTGGCATACTCCAGGTTAGGTCCTAGGATCTAACTCTCAGCCCTTCCCTGACTTTCTCTTTGAAAAGTTTGCTCCAGCCTTAGACCTTGAGGAATAATGAGTGCCATTTGCCAACTATTTCCAGTTCTTCTCTATTCTAAGCATATGGTAAGGTTGCACTTCCAGGCATCGTTGTAGCAGGCTGGAGCTGAAGTGACCATTTATGGCCAGTGGGCTGCAAATAGAAGGGACATGCATCACTTCTGGTTCAGAGCATCTCCTTGCCAACACAAGACCCTTCAGAGCTCTCTTTCTGCCAGTGGTTTAGGCAATGTTCCAGAAGATGGCTAATCTATCGGCCTCAGTTCCCAAGTAAGGAGATGTGGAGCACAGCCTCCAGCCATGGACACATAGGGGGAAATAAACCTGTTATTTTAAACCACTTGTTTCTATCAATCTTACTTCACTGAGGGTCTAGGTGTCCTGTCTATTCTCATTTGTCCTGTCTCACAATATTGCAAGACCTCCTTTCCTTTTTTTCCTCAAAGGCTTTGTACCCCTTGATTTACTTCTGGCCTGCTTCCTCCATCCTGCTTTCTCTTCTTCCGGTTCCTAGTCTTTTTTTTTTTTTTTTTTTTTTTTTATCATCCCATAGCGGTTCCTAGTCTTTGAAAACATATCCCGGGATCCCAGTGCCACCTTGATACTGCTTAGCTCTATCCTCAGCGTTTCTAAAGTACCCTCTTTGACCATGAAGAAAGAGAGGCTCTCCTCATGCAAGACTGTAGAGCTGGAGCAGGAGCAGACAGAGGGAGTGTGGTAACCAGCTTCCAGGATGGTCCTGGTGATACCCACCTTATGGTATTCATACTTTTGTGTAGTCTTCTTCCACCTGCTACCAGTATAGATCTGTATGATCAGTAGAATGTGGCAGAAGTGGTGGTACATCATTTCCAAGACTGGATCATTTCCAAGACAGTATCAGTTTTGGTTACTCTTTCTCTTTTGATAATTCGTGCTGTGGAAGGCCTGTCATGAGATACTATGGAGACATCCATGTGATAAGGAACAAAAGCCTCCTGGTGATAGCTCTGTGAGGAAGCTTGGTGCTCTAGACCCGATCAAGCCTCAATGACTACAGTCCTGGCTGACACCTTGAACTGCAATCTCACCAAAGACCCTGAGCTAGAACCACCTTGCTAAGCCTCTCCCAAATTCTTGATTCCATAATAAGAGTTTACTGTTTTAAGCTAGTAAATTTGGAATAACTCACGATGCAGCAATAAATAACTAATACAGGGTAGGTGCTAGGGAGGTTGTGTTTTGGATATCAAAGCACAGTGTGATAATAATGATAGATCTCTGCTTGGCCTGCTTGTATCCCTTGCTCTGGGACAGATTTGGCTTTTGTGCATGGTTGCTGAGGAATCTCTCAGGACAGCACTCAACCCGGGGGAGGAGGGGGCAGGAAATATGAACATAACTTGGTGTTTATCACCTAGACCCAGCCCCAAGAGACTCACTCAAGCCTGTCTTGTGATTAACATAGAGTTCTACGTAAACACTATGTAAACATTCTTTTACAAAGAATGTAAAATGTAAAATTAGTGTACTAGTCACATTCCTTTATAAGAGAGCTGGTGTGACACTGTGAGGGGCCCCACATACCTGTGGTAGTGCTGGGTGTGAGGAGTAGCATCAGAAACCAGAACCCTGTGGAATAATGGATGTCAGAGATAGGTGAGTAAAGATATCCTCTGGGGCACATTCCATAAGTGTGAGGACCTAAGTTATCCAGGGGGACCAATAAGCTGGTGAAATAATAGCTATTACTATTAAAAGAAGACATCCAGATGTCTAACAGACACATGAAAAGATGCTCAACATCGCTCATCATCAGGGAAATACAAATCAAAACCATGATGAGATACTACCTTCTACCTGTCAGAATGACTAAAATGAATAATTCAAGAAAAAACAGATATTGGCAAGGACGTGGAGAAAGAGGAACCCTTTTGCACTGTGGGTGGGAATGCAAACTGGTGCAGCCACTCTGAAAACAGTATCGAGGTTCCTCAGAAAATCAAAAATAGAACTACTCTACGACCCAACAATTGCCCTACTAGGTATTTATCCAAAGGATACAAAAATGCTGATCCAAAGGGGCACATGCACCACAATTCCTATAGTAGCATTATCAACAATAGCCCAAGTATGGAAAGAGCCCAAATATCCATTGATGGATGAATGGACAAAGAAGATGCGGTACACACACACACACACACACACTGGAATACTACTTGGCGATCACAAATGAAATCTTGCCATTTGCAACAATGTGTATGGAACTAGAGTGTATTATGCTAAGTGAAGTAAGTCAAGCAGGGAAAGACAAGTGTCACATGGTTTCACTCATGAGGATAGGGGAAGGGAAGGAAGATAAGATAAAGGGAGAGAGGGAGGCAAACTGAGTCTCTTTAAAACAGAGAGCAATCTGAGGGTTTCTGGTGGGGATGTGGGTGGGAGGATGTGCTAAATGGGTGATGGGTATTAAGGAGGGCACTTGTTGGGATGAACATTGGGTGTCATATGTAAGTGATGAATCATTGGGTTTTACTCCTGAAGCCAATGTTAACTAACTTGAATTAAAAAGAAAAAATAAAAGAGCGATTGCTGTTAAAGCATCTTCACTCTGGCTTATAGCCCTCTAGGGCTTAGGGGAATTTGGGATTCAATAATAATAACAAATACTGTTCTTTCTTTTATTAAGCACTTGGTATGTCTGACTTTAAAGTAAATAGTTCATGTACATCGTAATTTTCAAGCTCTGAGGTAATTTATAAAATGGATCTTATTCCCATTTTACAGAATAAGAAACTCATATTACATAACCTGCTTCCTTCAAGCACTTTCTCCAAAAGTCAAAGCAGGGGCCACATGGGCAGGCACCTTCCATTCTTAAACACATAGTCCTCTGGTCCTCCTATCTAACTGGAATCTCAATTCCAGTTGTAGATCTGGTCCCTTTGCAAGGTTGTGTTCTCGGGAAGAGAGCTCATGCCGCAACCCTGGCCTATGGCTCCTGGCTGCAGGGATTGACCTGCTTTTATCTATGGGATCAGCAAAATGTACAGATAAGTTATGAGAGCTCTTGGCGGGATGCATTTGAGGTGAAGTATGTACCTCCTGCATTTCAGCTCTACACGCACATCGGTCTCTACAAATAGGTGTCAATCCCTGGAAGTAATGTGGTTACAATGAGTGAGGCCTCTGTCACTTCAAGACTGAATTCCAGGCAATGACAAAAGGAGAGGTGGGAACAACAATGTGAAGTATGCTTAATAACACTGAAAGTATCCTGAAAATGGTTAAGATGGTAAATTTTACATTATTTTTTTTTACCACAATTAAAAATGAAAATAAAAAAAGAAATATGGGGAATCGTTATCAGTTAGTAAATGGAATCTGATAAAAGGAAGTGGCTGATCTAATGAGGTTTAGTGTGAGTCTGTGTGGGATGTGGATCAACAGGTGGAGAGGCAAGTGAGAAGATGACATTCTGTCAGGTCATGGCAAGAAGACCAGGATAGAAATTCCACCTGGATCCAGTACTGGAGAAGGGGGGATCTGTAGTTAATCTTGAACCTCCAATGGGGGTGACTGCTGTACTTTAGTACACAAACACACACACACACACACAAACACACATTATATATAGTGTAATATGTATTACATTATGTAATGTCAGTTGTCTAATATAAATGTGTAATATGTATACATGTATTTTAAATATATAAAATAAACAGTAATACATGGTTGATAACATGGGTGCAGGTCTTTCAAATGATCCTTTTGTTACCTTTACAAAGTCCTGGGTCACAAACCCCTTACAGGTTTGCCCTGGAGTGGGGCCTGCAAGGGTGGATCCACAGCATTGTAGTCAACATTCCAGGCCTGGGGCAAGTCCCAGACAAGCTACATTCCTGACCCCCCACCCTGTTCCTATGTGTCTGGGCTACATGTTAGAACCAGAGCAGAACACAGAAATCCAGCAAGACAGAAACAGACTTGTTCCTGATAATCTAGTGGGAAAATCTATCCTCTTTCCTAATCCTGCAGTCTCCCTGGGAGGTGGGACCCCGACCCGTCTCTCAGAGAGAAGCCCTTTGGGAAATGAGGTAAGTGGCAAGTCTGGGAACAGGTTTGGGAACCTTGGCTTTTTTCTGAAAGGTTATGAGGACTTGATGCCAGAGGTGGGCAGTTGGGAGGGGAACTGTGGCTCCTTTTTGGCTCCCTAAGAAATGGCCCTCCTTTAGAGAAACAGGGCTTGACTGAGGTATGAAACTGACACACCTCACCGACACTGATGTCAGTGACATTTTGATTCTCAGAGCTTCAGAGTTCTCTCCTCTTTGCCAAGACTCTGGGATGGTATTCCAGAGTATCCCTTGTACCTAGCCAGCTTTGCTACCCATCCCCTCGGGCCAGGGAGGACCTCTGCCTTTGACCATGCCATGCTTAGCACAGGATATAAGGGTGGCTTCAAACCCCCTTCCTTTCTTGGCTCAGTCTGCAGCTGTCTCTTACCCTAAATAACAACTCCTATGAGGGCAGACACTGTATCTTATTCATCTTGGGAGCTTCTGGAACTTCTCTTTCCCTTTGTCTCTCCTGTGCCTTGCATACAATATAAAATAGAAGATTGCAGTGACCATTGGCTAAAAACCCCTGTCCCCAGATGCTCCTCTTGGCTGTACTCTCTTTTCCTCTTTGCCCTACAAACCAAATGCTGTGGTTTTATAACTTCACACTGAAAGCCAGAGTTCATAAACTGCACTTTATCTTAGTCTGTGGTCTCTATATTCTTGCCTGATTCCTCTCTCTGGAAATCTCCCAGATAAATCACAGCCAGTCATATCTGTACTGCCCCTCTCCCCAAAAAAGCCAGCTCGAGGGCAGAGTTAGAAGGGTCTTGGGAGAACATCCAGGAAGCCTTATATTAAAGAAGAGAAAACAAAACCCTTGAGGGGAAAAGGGACTTGCCCATGATCATGGTTTTGAGTCTGGGCCAGAAGTCAGCAATCCTGCCCCCCAGGAGTTCCAGAGCTCAGAACACTGGCCAGGTGGCCTCCTTCTTCATGCTGCCTGATGTTTTGAAAGGGCCTTTCTCTGACCCTCACCTTTTAGGTATCACAGCTGGAGAGGCAGTTTGATAGCTTGGCCAGGCCAAGGGTATCTACTCAAGGGCCTAAGAGAAAAGATCTGGCCTGAGAGAGTAGAGACAATAATCAGTGTCTCTCTTTACATTCTCTCCATGCAATAACTTCTGTCAAATAGTAATCTGACAATGAACTCAATCAACAAGTAGTGTCTTGCTCAAATTCACCATGAGCATGAACTTAGTAAAGCGTTCATGGCCATCGGAACTCCCTGCCTATCCCATCTAACTGCCCTCTGGCAGGAGGACTGTTTTGTTTCCGTGGCCTTGTGGTAATGTTTTTCTCATCAGCAGAGGCTGATTCCTGTCTGAGTCCTGACCAAGGCCACCGGCTGCATGCCATACTGAGTTCAGGAGGAGAAGAAGGAGGTATTGCTGCTTAATAAAGCTCTTTTTCAGGCCCTGTTCACTTGAATTCCAGTGAGACCCTGGGTAACAGACAGGGAAATCCTTATTAGTCTTTAGTTTATAGCAGACATTATGGCCCAGAGAGGATGAGCGATTAACCCAAGGCCACACAGCCAGTGAATTATTTATTGGGGAAATGTGTAATGCTTAAATTCCAGATCTACTATTTACGGAAGATCATTTGAATCTAGTCTCCCTGCTCACTAGTTGTGGAATCCTTAGCATTACTTAACCACTCTGCCTCAGTCTCCTTACTCTTTAAATAAAAGAGATAGCATGTCTCTCATTGAAATGCTGGGGGATTAAATTGAACCAATATATGTAAAGTACTTATACCCTGCCTGGTGGTCAGTAAGTGCTGAGCAATGTTAGAAATTGTTGTTACTGTCAAGTTTGACTCTGCCTGGAGACAGAACAAGTGTCCTCTGAGCTCTGGGCAAAAGTCATAGTGCTGCAAAAGCCTTAGAGATAATCTGGTTTGTTTACTGATTTAATTTTATTACTATTAAAAAAAAAACCTGACATTTGAAGATAATTACATAAAATTACTCTTGTGATGTATAGTAATTAGGCATACAAGGTTAGTGGCTCACATAAATGGTTGAAATTATTGTTTCTATAGCCAAACAAAATTTTATTTCTTTCTCTTTTTTTGGTATTCCTTGGTGTCTGTAATAGATGTCCTTGTCATCACATTTCTCCATTACATGCATTAGTTAATACTGATTATATGCACTGACAATGACTCACATTAAGAGACGAAAATAGAAAAAAAAACAGTATTACTCATAATATTCGGGAAGTGGGGGAGGAGAAATGGGAAGAAGTGTAAGGGTGTTAATTTCCTTATCTTTCATAGCAGCCAGTCAATTGAAAGATACTAAAGTTGAAGAATGTTAAAAAAAAAAAAACATAGTGATTCCAGTCTCTTAATATTGTTTATAATATATTTTCTTAACCTTAGAGATATCTTTCAGAAATAACATCTCTTGTGGAGAATAAAGGAAATCAAGGAATTCCATTAGCTTTTCTTTAGTGTCATTGTCTTTTGTTACATTCAAGGAAAACTAAATTTTATACCTTTTTAAAAGTGTTCACTTATTTATTTTGAGAAAGAGAGAGGAGCAGAGAGAGAGGGAGAGAGAAAATCCCAAGCAGACTCCACATTGTCAGCACAGAGCCCTACACAGGGCTGCATCCCACGAACCTCGAGATCATGGCCTGAGCCAAAACCAAGAGTTGGACGCTTAACCGACTGAGCCACCCAGCCACCTCATTAATTTTTATTTTTTAAGTAATCACTACACCCAACATGTGATTCTAAGTCATGACCCGAGATCAAGTGTCGTGTGCTCTACTGGTTGAGCCAGTCAGGTGCCCTTCGTATTATTAAATAGTGTATGAAGTATAATTCCTTTTTAATCAGCCATTTCTTTATATTCATCCATCAATCCCTCTGTCTATCCACCCATTCATCTATCCACTCTCCCTTATTAGTTACTTGACTACCTATACTTCTCTCTGTATATAGAGAGAACTATCTGCAATGAAATTTGCTTGTGTTGGCCATGACTGTTTTGAAGTGGTGGGATTTTGAAGATTTTTAAATATTTTTTTGTGCTCTTCAGCATTGTGCAAATTCTATATAACATGTATCATTTTTATAAAAACAAAGTCTTATCAAAAAAGAGAGGGAGATTTAAGATTTAAGATTTCCCCAACATTTGGAGCTTCCTTGTTCTTGCCACTGCCCCCCCCCCCACATTTATTCTCCAAAACAAAGGGTTTTAGGCTTTACCCACAATATTGTTTCAGATAATACCCACAGTGGTCACACCCCAGGCTCCTATTCCCCCAGTTCATATCAGGGGTCCTGAGTGGCAGAAACCTTTTGCAAAAAGGCTGTGAATAGCCTGGTAGGGAGGCATATAACTGAGGGAAGATGGCCAAGGACAGGAGACAGGAAAAGGGCTCTGATTCCTTGGCATTTCTTCATCTTACACATGATGAGACCACGCCTAGAAAAGAAGAGTGACTTGTTCAGAGTCAGCCAGCCTGTCGCATACATACAAGGCAATCAATTGTTCCTTCAATGGCAGTCAATCCTTTTCTCCAAGCCACACAAGTAAGAAGAGGTGGTAGGGCCTCAGATCCTTATTCTTGGAGTGGACAATGGAAAAAGAAGGAGAATTTTAGGGTGTAGCTCCCCCTCTAGCAGCTAATCCTGTTTTTGTATTAAGTCTACCATAATTAGTACCTGTAAGGACTGCAAGACCCCCTGGAGGCATCTACAGCAGCTACTGCACTGAATGTTTAGAATCAAAAGAAAGATGTCTTAGGCAGATATGTATGGGATTCATGTGGAGAAGATTCAGAAGACTCTGGTAACTGATTATTGTCTTCCTACTCCAACCAGGAGACATTGGCCTATTTACCTATCTTCTCACAGTAGTTTATATTTCTTTGGGGATGGGATGGTGGTAGGGGTGTGGAATGTTTTTTTTTCACAACTCTTGAGGAGGGCAGCCCCTATACAACTCTAGGATATTGTCAGCACCTTCCTGGTGGACAGCTCCACAACAACCACCAGAATCTCATCTCAGTGGGGCCACTGGGCCACTGGTGTTCTCTGAATGATGACTTTTCTTTTTCTTATTATTTCTCCTTTCTTTCTTAATAAAATTGACTTTGTTGTAAGGGGACTTCAATCAAGTGGTTTTATTATTAAAAATACACAAGACAATGTATAAAAAGGAGTATCAAGTTGTCCTGAATAAAGGATTCCTTTGGCTAAATATAACAGCCTGAGTGATTGAACTAGAAACAGCTCAGGCATGTGTGTGTGTGTGTGTCATAGCTCAGGAATCTTTTGTAACAGGACTTTCAGATCCAAACTAACATCAAAAACACATCATCTTACAAAAATTGTTTTGGGCTAGTTCCCAGTGTTAATGCAATATGGGAGAGGCTAGTTAGGCAATGAAATCTTAGAATTTCAAGGATTTTTAAATATTTTAAGGTTAGCGCTTAAATATTTGAAATCTGGGCTCTCTCAGAAAACCCAGAATTATGATTATCATGCCCATAATCAGAAGTCTAGAATGACTCACATCGAGAAGAGAAGTCTAACTGGAAATGAAGGTCTTAGAATTGTGAACACCCTAGGGGAAACATTTGATGATGTATGGAGATTTCTCTGCTAAGAGTGAACAGCAAGCTTTGAAAAAGTGTGATTACATCTACTGCTTCACTTAATCGAAGTAGAACATTGCCACTGAAGCCTGTAGGAAAGTATGTGGCCAGGTCAGGTGATGGCAGGAGAGGCTCTTCATAAAGCCACCTTTACCTGGGAAAGTCACGTTGGCCCAGAGTCTGGTTCCCAGCCTACAGGCTTGGAAATGCAATTTTGTCAATACTGAGGGTGGCTCTATTTCACTCACAATAATGTTTCACTGTCTAAGCTTGCAACAGCTTACTTTGTAAACTATTTCATGGGTTCATTGGCAATGAGAAAATAGAACTCCGTGGGGACTGGACATTTGCTTCTAGTCAGTAGTCCCCCTTTTTCTATTGAAAAACCACCAACCAGGTTATAATCAGAAGGCTGCTTGGTGAATTTGGAGTCAGCATAAGGGGAAGTTGTTTTATGATGGTGAGTTTGATGGCAACAGGTCTGATAAGCCATTCCTCTCATGTCCAAGATGGAGGAAGACCTGCCACTGAAGCTGGATAGGTTAAAGCCTTGGGTGAAGGAGCTGACTCTCTTTTGGGTGCTTCCAAAAGCAGACCCTTAAAAAGGATTTGAGTGCTAATGGTTTATTTGGGAAGTGGTTCGAAGAAATTATGGTAGCAGAATAGGGAGGTAAAACGGAGAAGAGAAGGAAGCCAATAGAAGTGTTACCAAACAAGTTATCATGATGGGCAACTGGAATTTAACCTTCACTGGGGATGCAGAGAGACAGCATAGAATATGCACTTCAGTATTAACCTACCCTAGGGTAAGAGATCTGGGCGCTTTATCCACCATCTCTCATAAGTCATTGATTGAGTGATGATCCTGACCACAGGGTTGGGTTGAGTAGGTAATTTGCCAACATATGCATCCAACTACATATGTAGACAGAATGAGCTCTAGCAGCCAGAAAAGGTCCTCAGGTCAAGAGACACAGGTGTTCTAGTTAAAAGACAGTCTGGTGGGCACCAAAATGAGAAGGCCTGAGGGGAATGAATTGGAGGCACAGGTAGCATATGCTACACTTTCTGTCCATCCTCATATTGTGGATACTGTCTCTGCTTCCATTCATGTTCCTCCTTTTTTACTGTACTGACAATACCCTTTATGATTGTTTCGTTCTTTTTATTTTTAAAAAATGTTTATTTTTGAAAGAGAGAGAGAGAGAACACACATGTGCATAAGTGAGAGAGGGACGGGGTTGGAGAACAGAGGATCCAAAGAGGTCTCTGCACTTATAGCAGATAGCCCTATGGCGGGGCTTGAACCTACCAACTGTGAGATCATGACCTGAGCCAAAGTTGGACGCCTAACTGACTGAGCCACCCAAGTGCTCCTCATTTTTTTTTTATTTTAAAAAAAAGTTTGTTAAATCTAATAAGTTGGATTCTGCTCTTCCTACTTCTGACCCCAGGAATAGTCTAGGATTATTGTTTTTTACATGTTTCTGCTTTTGTTTAGAATGTAGGAGTTTTAACAGTTTAATTAAAATTTTGTGCCTTGCTGATGACCATATGAACTGCTTCCAGGAGGCGGAGGTGACGTTGAGGAGAAACACATCAGTAATCAGAAAGAGAGGAACACTTAGAAACACATTATTTGATGTGTTCTGAACTTTTTATGGAACTTGACCGCTGATTCTTGAGTTCATCTGGAAGAGAGAGGACACAAACCTAGCCAAGAACATTTTGAAAAAGAACAGTGGTGAAAAATTTGCTCTATCAAATATAAAAATATACTATAAAGCTACAGTGATTAAAACATTGTGGTTTGGGGGCGTCTGGGTGGCTCAGTCAGTTAAGCATCCAACTTTGGCTCAGGTCATGCTTTCACGGTGCGTGGGTTCAAGCCCTGCATCAGGCTTTGAGCTGACAGCTCAGAGTCTGGAACCTGCTTTGGAGTCTGTGTTTCCCTCTCTTTCTTTTTCCCTCCCCTATTCATGCTCTGTCTCTCTGTCTCTCAAAAATGCATAAATGTTAAAATAAATTATTAAAAAAGCAACAAAAAACTCAACAAGAAAATTATGGTTTGGGCACAATAATAGACAATTCAGCGGAACAGAATAGAGCCCAGAAACAGAGTCATCTCTATGTGGGAGTTTAGTATATATTGAATATGGGATTTTACATGAAAGGGTAAAGAGGGAGGAATAAGTGTGAATTATAAAATGGCGTTATTAGATATCCATTTGGAAAAGAATTAAGTCAGATTCCTATTCCACACATATACAAAAATAAAATTCAAATGGATATAATATTAAAGAACAAACTAAACACATTTTAGAATAAAATATATGAAAGTATTTTTTAATCTTGTGGCGGAAAGGGCATTTTAAGTAAGAAAATTTAGAAGTCTGGAAGAAGCTGGTAGATTTGACTACCTAATACTTTTGTGCAAGCAAAGACACCATCAATGAGTTACAAACACAAAAGAAATTCTCTGAATTTCTGTCTCCCTCTCTCTAGTTCTTGTCTTTCTACTCTTCCCAGTCCCTGGCCACCTTCCCAAGTCCCTGGCTCTCCCTCTCTGAGTCTCTGGTTCTTTTTCTTTGGGTTTTTCCCTTTCTGGGGTCTCAGTTTGTCTAACAGTCTGTCTCCTCAAGGGAAAACCAACAGGTCCCAGACAGACAAATGGTAAAGCATAGACTGAGGAAGCAGTAAGAAAAAAAATAGAGTTAGGGGAAAGACTTATATATATATAAATATATAACAAAATATTAAGATTCACAAAGTATACATGGCAACAATAAGTCAATTAAAAAAGTTAAGGTGTTACTAGAAAATTAGTATATAAAATAAAGGATTGAGTCACCCAGGTGGCCCAGTTGGTTAAACATCTGACTCCTGCACTCAGCTCAGGTCCTGATCTCAGAGTTCATTGGTTCAAGCCTCACTGCTTGTCTGCTGCGCTGACAGCAGAGCCTGATTGGGATCCTCTCTTGCTCCTTCACTCTCTGCCCTTCCCTTGCTTGTGTGTGTGTGTGTGTGTGTGCTCTCTCAAAATAAATAAACTATTAAAAAGATATTAAAAAATTAAAGGATCTACACAGCTAATTCAAAGATGTTAAAATGTAAGTGGCTTAGTGGATGCTCTGAGGCACCACTGATTTCCCCCTTCAGAGCAACGGAGGGAGAGGCACCCATCTCCCAGATTCTGGGAGTCTCAGAGCCTCATGGCTCTCAACTGAGTTCCCCTATGGGAATTGTCATTTATTTGGAACAAAAAGAAATTCTGTGGTTCCTAAGAAAGCAGTCACGCAGAAGTCTGATATACACTAAAAATGGTGTCATTGCCTGTCATTTGTAAATAAAAGTGGTCTTCACAGCTGCCACCATAATTCTTGATTTCCTAAATGTAACTTCAATTTTTTTAATTTAAACATGTAATTCTCTTCCAAAAGAAAAACGTGAATGACATAATTTGCCTTTATGTAGATTACATTCTATTGCCTAAATCAAGCCTGTTTTGGTATTTGCTTGCTTTTAGGTCAGTCTGTGAGATTACTGGAAAATCTGCCCTACCTTCCCTATTCTCTTGGAATATCTGACCTCTGTTGCAGCCACCTGCTGTCATACCCATCAGTACCCGAGGGCCAGCAGAGGGGGCAGCAGCTGAATGCTTCTCTGAGATCTGACTGCCCTAGGAGCACAGAATCACCCTGTGGTCTGGAGCAGAACTGCAGTTATGTGAGTTGGTTAAAGGGAAATGTCCCTGACAACAGCTGGGGTTGTAATTGTGAATCCTCTGGCAGCTCTTCGAATCCATGTGCTCGTCCTCCCACATCGCCTCCCCCAAAATGCAATGTGATAGGATGTTTACTGCCCACCTTGAACAGTTGAGGTCCAGAAAGCCAAGAGTGTCAGCAAGGAGGACAACAGGAGGGCTTGAACCCAAATGTCAGACTACACATATTCTTAAACGAGGGCATGGCTCCCTTAAATAGCCCTCCCTTCCTCTATGCTCTGAAAGACCCTTGTACACTCCCAGTTATTTCAGATTGGAAGTATCTCATAAGTTTTGGATTATTACTATAACACATGGGTAGGTATGAGGTGGTTATAGTCTACCATCAGACATACCTCTTGGGTTCTTGTACACCTGTAGAGTCCAGAGGACACAGCAAAAGATTCATTAATTTTTTTATCAAATAATTCATGGACCCATGAATAGCCCCATGAACCCATGGACAGAACCCATGAACAGAAGTAGCTTAGATATTCTTTTAAAAAAATTTTTTAAATGTTTTATTTATTTATGAGAGAGAGAGAGAGACAGTGTGAGCAAGGGAAGGTCAGAGAGAGAGAGAGACACGGAATCTGAAACAGGCTCGAGGCTCTGAGCTAGCTGTCAGCACAGAGCCTGACATGGGGCTCGAACCCACGAACCGTGAGATCACGACCTAAGCGAAAGTCGGACGCTTAACCGACTAAGCCACCCAGGTGCCCCTAGATATTCTACTTCTTAGCCTCCCCCAGGGTCTAAACTCCATTCTAGAACTGTTGGCATCATACCCTGAGATCTTCAGGTTTTAATGTCTTTCAAAATCATCATATAGAAGCATCCATAAAACAAGTCATCCTCGGGGCGCCTGGGTGGCTTAGTCGGTTAAGCGTCCGACTTTCGCTTAGGTCATGATCTCGCGGTTCGTGGGTTCGAGCCCCACGTCGGGCTCTGCTGACTGCTAGCTCAGAGCCTGGAGCCTGTTTCAGTCTGTGACTCCCTCTCTCTCTGACCCTCCCCTGCTCACGCTGTCTCTCTCTCTCTCTCTCTCCTAGAAATAAATAAAAATATTAAAAAAAAAACAACAACAACAAGTCATCCTCTTTCTAATATTGATTGTCATTCATAGCCTGGGATTTTTATGCTAACCAAGTTTCTGACACTCTACTATGACTATCTAGACATAAAACTTCCCCACAAAAGATGCTGGGATTATGTGTAGGTAAGAAGTGGATGAGGGGAAAAGAAAACCTCATGCTTTTACTGTATCTCCTGGGTTGGTCTCCTTACCACCTGTGGGCTCCTTGAAGGCAGGAGTGAGCTACAATCCCTCCTACTCTGCACTAAACAGAGTCTGCTGCAAAGCAAAAATGTCAATGAACATTGGATGACTGAAAACACCCAGGCTAGAGAGAAGCAGACCCCAACAGCATTCTGGAAAGCCACAGCTCCTCCACATGTGACTGGTATGACTCCTTTTTATTCATCCATTCAGCTACATTAACAACTATCTTCACCAGCTCTGGGGCAGAGAGCAGAAGGCTCCATTCCTCACCTCAAGGAGCTTTCCAAGCTGCTCTGGAGGAACCATGCAAGCCAAACTATCATAGCACTATCTTATTATTACTAGGACTAGGGTTGACATGGGACATGGTAGGAGCTCAGAGGAAGGACATTCATCCAGATAGGAGATTTGGGGAAGGCCTGAAGTTCTTTCTAGAAGCTAAGATCCTGGCCAGAGATGGGGAGAGGGCGAGGGGAGCCAGCAGAGAGGGAGCTGGCCTGCAGTGGGGCCAACAAAAAAGTTGGCTAGGCCAGGAAGGGGAGTGAGAAGCCTCAAATGTAGCTTTGACACTGTTTTTCTTTCTTCTGGAGAGCTGCCACGTGCCGCCACAGAGAGCATTTCACGGGTAGATGCATATTATTGCAATGTGTTTATCTAGGAAACCAGAGCCCAGCTCCAGCATCTGGTTTTCAGCACAATCCTGAATGAAGTCCAATTTTCCAGTTGGGTTAATGAAAATAAAACTTGGGAAGTTGTGGGCTGGCTGCATCAGGGGTTGAGTCCTGGGCTCATGCAGGGTCATGGACTGCAGGGCCGGAAGGGCTTGGGCAGGTCATGGATTCATTGTGGGCTGGCCATCAGGCCGGAGCCAAAGACAGGGAGGGAGAGCTGCCTGGACCAGTCCTGAGGAACACTCCTCATGCAGGAATGGCTGTTTTTAGATTCTGTCTCAACCTGACAAAAGTTGACCAAGCACCTACTGTGGCCAATGAAATGGGCTGGGTGGTGCTGTGGGGGGTGAGATGCAGATGTGAGCCCGAGCTTGTCTTTAGTCTGCTGGCACATAGGCCAGTGGGGGAAAGCCATGACCAAACAAGCTGACTGATGAGCAGATCTGATAACAGCCCCCATCAGTACTTGCCACTTTGAAGCTGTCAGGAGGCTTGGGATCAGAGAGGAACCCATTCTTAAAACCAGCGTAACAAAAGATACAGCCAGGTTCCAGAGAGACCTGGAACCCACAACAAAAAGTCCACAGGCCCTCCTTTTACCTCATGTCTTCAGTCTTGCATATTTGTTTTATTCTCCTCTTTCATTGCAGACTTTCCAGACTGCATGGCAAGAAAACACGATTTCCCCATAGCTTCTGAGTTCCCATGAGCCTCTTGCTTTCTTGATCTCTCTTCCTTCCCCAATTTCAAATTCCTTGGGAAAAGATTTTAATTGGCCCTGGTGGTGACAAAAAAATTCTTGGTAAAATCAGCTATGGCTAGGGATCAGAGTTACATTTGTAAAGACTGCTAAAATGAGCCTACCCTGAGATCCCATGCTCACGGCTCTTTTTCATGTCAAAGTATTTACAGTAAGACACAAATCACAAATAGTTTCTCCTTTGACCCTGACTCTACCTCTGTGAGGGAGACAGGGCAGGGAAATCAAAGCTCTCCTGTTAGTTTCAGAAACAGGGCTGGACCTGTAGCTCCTAACTCCCAGCCCAGTGCTCTTTCCACTACACACTGTTCCTTTGGTCCTGATGTGAAGCCAGCAATTGTGAAATAGACTTTGCCTATGCAGTTTCCCCTCAGGAACAACTGCAAAATGAACAGTGTTGATTAGAGAGAATTTTGTTGGCGGGCTTTGGAGGGAGCTGGGAGCCAAATACCAGTGGTGTGGCTTGTTGTGACCCAGAAGGTGTGTGTCATAGGCTCCTGACAGGGTGACCTCACACAGGGGTATGAGGATCCTGGGGGAAGGATGGTCTCTTACTCTTATCTTCTTTACCTGGAGGCTACTTCTTAAGACAGAGTGTAGGAAAAGCCAAGGCAAGGAAAGGAGGAGATGCCTCTTTCTCTTGAGTTCTGGCTCAAACTAGGGAATCAGAGAGTTACAAAATGACCTTTGGTGGAGAAGCCTTTTCCTGAGGCTTCAGAGGAGATTCCTCATGCCAGGTCAGAAAGTTAGCTCCTCCTGAAGGACTCCAAGGGGAAGGAAATTTGGTGTCTCCTGGTCATCTTTCAAACCTGCTAGCAATGACGTTTTTCTTTCATTCTACCTCTTGGTGTGGGAAGCAATGCTAAGGTTCTTGAGGATGCTATCAGTTTCATGTATGCTTTGCTGTTTCTGCTTCCATCTTTCCAGTACTTCATGGTTGCAACCATTGATATTACCATTTCCAGGCCTGAGTCCATCCCAGAGCCTAGCCAATCTTGATGGTTACTTCAGTCCTCATTCCCTGGGGCTTGAAATCATTTTCCTATCAGTAGACTTGGTACAGAGAATGCTAGGCTGGGCCCCTGGTTGGGCTTTTCCACCCTTACTGTGCTGGCTAGTAACAGACTGGGCTCCCACCTTGGTCCCTTCTTCCTAGTTCACTTGGTTATACTTTCCTGAACCCAAACTTCTTGGGGCTCTATACCCAGTTACAAACTTTGAACTTGCTGTCCATTCCTCTAGCCACTGATGAATGGGACCCTGTGCACCATGATGCAGCTGTACCTGGCTCTACATTGGCTCTCATCTCTGACATTTTTGCCTATGGGACAGGCTGTCTTTGATACTAATGCAAAGCAGAAATGCCCTCTGAACTTTGCACCTGCCCATTTTGAAGCTGGACTGGAATCCCCAACTCAGTGTTAATGAGGAGGTTCTCTCTCTTTTCTCTTGTTCCTTCCACTGGCCTTGCATACTACTCCTGTGTGCCCATTCTAGTGACACTTGGCTGTGCTTCCTGTCTCACTGGATCCTGCACTGGAGTCTTCTCTTCTTTCCATTTTTGTCTCTTCTGTTGGTTGCAAGGGTTGTTGGGAGTCAATGGGCAGCAAATCTTCCCCCAGGAGACAGATCTCCTAGTGTACCAAGAATCAAGACTGTCATGTAAATATGTCCCAGAGTATTATGGATCATCTACAACAGCTCATCAACCAACAGGATTAACCTGAATACAAGCAGCTCTGCCCAAGGTGAGTAGAAAAGCAGACTATATTTTTCATTCTTTTGATTTTAATTCTTTCCCTTGATTCATGCAGGTATCACCTGAATACACTCAAGGTTGATCTTTCCTAGTCTCTTTCTTAATCCATGTACTGAAATGACATTGTTTACATCTTTGAACTTGGGTCTATTTAAGTTTCCTGCAGGTGCAGAGTCTGTTCTGTCTAATCACCTCCCCTTACTTAGACATAGTTTCTATAGCTTTTGCCCAAGGCTGAAATTCCCTCATTCACCTACCCACCTACTCGCCCAATAACCCATCCATCCAGTCATTCAATAAGTGCTTCTGCCAGATTCTGTGCTAGGCAATGAGAACACAGCAATAAACAAACCATGGCTTGTTCCCTCAAGGATCTTTGTGCCCTGCCTCTGTCTCCCCAGCACTTCTCAGCTGGAGACGCTGGTGTATCTGCCTTTAGGCCTGGGCTCATTCTTGTGGGGATGACAGACTAAAGTGGGGGAGACTGATGA